TTTAACCAGCAATTCAACAGTAGCACACTTTTTAATTTCTAACCAAAGTGGACAGTTTGAAGGCAGATGTTAGTTTCCTTAAGAAGGAATTTATCAGAGAAACCGTGCAGTTTATCATTGTAAAAAAAAAATACCACTTGTTTCAGACTAATGCTTGTCATGCAGACATTTTTAGCTTAAACATGTTGCATCGTGTGACCTGTTCTCATTTATGGAGTGAACACTAGTTTTGAGAAAGACAGGCGCAGTGTTACAGGTGAGCAATCTTCCAAGTTGCGTAGTTTTGCTGTGTAGAAACTATGAGCTGCACATTTCAGAGTGCCTTTCAGAGACAGTAATTTATTAAGATGTTTTCAGGGAAATATAATCAAGAAAATGTTACTACAGATGTGCAGGCTGTGAGGGGTTTCTTTATCACCATTGTTATTACACTTGTCTTGACAAAATCAGTTTTTTCCATGTTATGTCTTGGATCAAATAGGCTGTAATGAAGATAGCTTTAAAGTGTTCATGACAATATATTGATTGGTTATGCACACGAGCTGTATCCCATTGCCTTACTGTGGACTATGGACGTGTTATTCTACTGTCATCGAGATCTAGGTAAAATGTAACAGCTAAAAATAGACCAAACCAAATTAATGTGTTTAGTTCAGCAAGCATCACTGGAGATCTTGGTTTGTCTCCTACAGGACATGTAATGTGGATGCACATAAAATCTCCAATTCATTTATTTTCAAGCCTGTAAATCTGTACTAAAGTGAAAAAAGAGAAGCCCAAAATTAAATGTTTTGGATTATGTAGGTGTGTTTTTGAACTATTGGTGAGTTCACTGTGCTATTGATTTATCTGCAATAACCTTGGTTAAACTTGTATAACATATGTAGTTTCAGTTTATAAAGTGGCTTGAAAGTTGCAAAGTAAATGAAGTCCACTTGCACATGTTCACTGTGATGGAAACATAGCCAGAGAGATACGGCAAGCCGTTTTAGCATTTATTTGATATCCTGGAAAAACGGCATAATGTTCCTCCACTAGTTTGGTCTATATCAATACTAGTTGGACACCTTGTTGTACTAGTTGTACTCTTAATCGTCGCTCTTATTCAGCAACTAGTGGCACTTTTGTCCAACTAGTTTCAACAGAAGCTGTACTAGTAGCTCCAAAGTCCCAACTAGTCAGCGTTTTGATGCACTAGTGGTCCTCTGGACCAAACTAGCAATGATGAAAGACATACTAGTTAACCAGTGAGCTGCAAATGCTCTGGTGTTAACCATTTTGTGCAACTAGTTAACTAGTGAGAGCCAAAATGTCCATTCGTTACAATAGTTAAATAGTTCACTAGTTAACCAGTGAGACAAAATATCTTCACTAGTTAACTAGTAATCACTGAGTCACTAGTGAACTAGACAGCTTTTTGCCTTGACTATTAATTAGTTGCAGTTCCTCAGGCCAAGATGCTAACTCTTGTGCAATATGCAAAAGAAGCAGGAGGGGAAAAAAGCCAACATCCTGAGTGGTTGGTTGACCGTTTTCATTTTTAACTGGAGAGCTCATAGGAAGCCTCAATGCGTGCTTCTTCCCCACCTCCTCATTAGCATTTTGTGCAACTAGTTAACTAGAGTATTTTAGCTTTTACTGGTTCAAATACTGAATGTTTTGTACCTCACTAAACTAGTTACATCAAAATGCTTCACTAGTACAGCTAGTGGATATTTTGGACCTCACTAGTTAACTAGTGACCATCTAGGCTCTAACTAGTACATAAGGTTGTAGGCCACTAGTTAACTAGGGACCTGACCATCATTGACTAGTTAACATGTCAGAGGCTTTGCAGTTTACTAGTTAACTAGTAAGACATTTAGCATTACTAGTTTGGTCCAGAGGGCCACTAGTGCATCAAAAAGCTGATTTAGCTGGGATTTTGGAGCTACTAGTACGACGCCCAGCATTACCATTACATCTTTTGTTGGATCTAAATTGAAAAAAGTGCCAGTAGTTGCTGAAAAAGAGCAACTAGTAAGAGTTTCTGTTCAACTAGTACAACAAAATACCGAACTAGTAGAGGAAAATGACACCTGATAAAGGACATCAAATAAATGCCAACACACCTTGCCATACAGAGCAAAACAAGAATTGAGTCCAACATCTTAAGCTACATAAAATGACACCAGCAGCACATTTTTGTTTGGTTGGTTTAGAATTTACCGAAAACTATTCAGCACCTTAGGCTCAATGTGTAGCATGCCACTTAGAAGTGAAGTTACAGGGAACAATCATTGTATCCCAGACTGTACTGATTTTGTCAAAAGCAGATGTGTGAAGTAATATAGGGAATGCTGTAAAATTATGTACATGTTGACACTTTTGTTCCACGTGTAGAATATAGTGTATTATAAACTAAAAACAGTATTGTTCTAATTAATTTAAGCAAACCAAGCCATGCATGGTTTAAAAAGGTGGCACTTCTGCTTGATACAAAGGGAGCTTCACTTTGGCTTTCAGAGCTGAAAGGATTGTGAGCGTGTTCTCAAGCCTTTTTACTTTTTACCAGCTAAATCAGTGGAATCCCTCAGAAGCCTTTGATTTTATTGCACTCAACATTTTTTGTATTTTTTTTTTTTATTTAACAGTAGCCCACCCCACATATTGCTGCCTGTGCCATAACATCACTGTGGAACTTGGACACAAGCGCTATACGGCCAAGGCTTCTATTGCGTCTATGCCCACAGCAAAAACTCTGTAACTACAATAAAAAGGCTCACTGAAACATGTTACGGCTATGTTTTAATTACCTTTCAAATTGAGTCATTTTGCCCTAAAGTGTGAGTTTCCTCCAGGGAAAATTATGTTCCATTTAACACTTCTGGTGAAGAAAATACAAACCCAAACAAACTTAAGCCTCTTTATTTTTAGTCCACACAACCCATGCTTCAAGTCACTTCACGTTCAATAGCACATAGAGGTCGATGACAAGCCTACCAATACAGGTCATCTGGTGTTCAATCATGGCCATCATGTAGACCTCATTTGGTCTTGTTTAAATTCCTGTCCACTGGTGTTATGGATCTCAATGTTTTTATGGTTTGCTTTTCATGAATTGCAAAGACATTAAGACAGCAACCTTAAAAAAAGGGAGTAAAGCTAGGAAATTCAACTGAGCCATCAAAAGAGCACAAAAAATAAACAGCTGAAACAGTCTCAGCAAATCCAGTGCAACCCAAGACACGTTCTGCTTTACGCTAGCCAAAAACTAAAAACAAGGGCACATATTAAAAGTTTTCACTTGTTTCTCCTAATCATATTATCAATATACATTTTCCCTGAACAATTACTTTTGCACAGTACCTTAGAATTTAATACATAAATTTTCAAGACATGATTTACTTTGTAAAACCCCTGAATGACTGATAAGCAGAAAGCATTTTATATTGCTACTTTCTGACAATGATTAATAAAGGGATTTTCAGTTTTGCATATTTTCTTAGGATTGTTGTTTGATGTGCATATGTGTTAAATTATCTCTGAAACCGCACAAAAGCCTGACCAGGCATTTGTTAAATGGAGACAAAGCGCAAGGCATCATACACCACACCGATGGGGGGCGGGATCCTCACGCTCCACTGATTTTGCATTGCATGAAGGTGTCTGACAAATGGGCCTTTTTACAAAAAACTGAAAAAGGCCTCAAAACAGTTGTTGTAGGATGCACTACCAAGAAGGCAAAGAACCAAGAGATAACATTCCATAAACTTTAAGACAACAAAAGCAGAGACGTGCCAATAGTATGAACAAAGGGGGAAACAAGGATCGCGACACTTTGTCTGTGCGCAGCAGGTGACTTCGTTAACTACAGTAGCTTGCTAACATATAGTACAGGAGAGGAAAATTAGCAATATGATTGATTTGTTTATTTCCAAAACAAAGCCAGATCTAGAGGGAAATCGGGGTGCTGTTGATAAAATGATGGGACATGTTAGCTGTTAGAATGCTAGCGAGCTACTGTAATTAGGTAAGACACATGCAAACACATTACTGCATAGTCTTCTGATTTATAACAAAATGTTGCGTACTGTCAAAATGCTTTATCTGAACTTACAGAAATATAATGACCTAAACTGACATTTGGAAATTTGACTTAACAGTGACAAAATCTTGCTGCACATGAAGGCTTATAGCTTAGCAAGGTCCCCCAGTTTCCCCATTTTTCCTGCAAATATTTTAGAATCAGAATCAGCTTTATTGGCCAGGTGTGTCAGACACACAAGGAATCTGACTCTGGTACAGCGGCTCTCAGTGTGTACATACATGTAAAACTAACTCTGGGTTCTTTGCCTTGTTGGTAATGCATCCTACCACACAGCAGCCTTTAGGCATTTTTCAGTTTTTTTTGTAAAAAGACAACTGTCAAAGAGGCACCTTCACTCATTACAAAGTCAATGGAGCGAGAGGATTTGACACCCACCCCCCACCGTGTGGTCGTGGCCTAGATGCGCCCTGTCTCTATGTATGTTTTAGAAAGAGCACATTGCAAGTGTGCAGTACAGTCTAATCGTTAACCACAAAGTGATTAGATTACTAAACTGGCAAAGTAAACACTAACTGCAAGTTGATCCTCAATCAACACGGACAAGTTGGACCTGACAGTTTAACCACTGACTTGTCTTATATCTCACTGTGACTGTTAAGATTTTACCTTCTGCAATGGATTTGAGTTGTTGGGCACTTCCCGGTGACTGTTTGGTACAATAATAAACTTTTAGATCTGACTTGATATAAGAATTATAACAAGAAAACTACATCCTTAATACACATGAATCAGGTTGCCTTCCTTTTAAAAAATAGGCCTTAGGCATCAGTTCAGTTGGAGAAACAACTGAGGCCCAATGTTTGAGTTGTCTAAAAAGCTTATATAAAAATGAGTACCCAAATTATAACTATTCCTGCGAGGAACATATGTAAATGCTTACATTTTTAAAAATATTTTTAACCATCGTTACTCATGAAGTTATTCCAACATATACTGTAGCACCAGCTTGTAAATCATGCCAAGCCTCAAGTTTGGTCTAAAGAGCAAATCTGTGTCGCACTAAAATAGTGTCACGCAGACGGCAGTGAGACAAACTGACAAACCTTCAAATAACCTAAAGTGCCACTCCACTCCAGTCCTACTCCAACTACCTTCTCCTAACCACAGTACATGTTTCACTGATGGGGGGCTTCAAGCATTTCCATGAGGAAAGTGTCAATTGGTGTGTCACCGATCAACTTGAAGAAGAAGAGATGCTCCAAGCACTTCAAGCCAATGGATCGCAAAGCTGGCAGTCGAAGGAGGAGCTTGGCAAACCTGCAGGAGCGAAGAGGATGTCATTTAGTTATCATCATGATAACCAGTCACCACAATGCAAAATAATAAGTGCATAATAAACAATAATAAATGCAGTCAAGTTAAAAAAAAAAAAAAAAAAAACTTCCTGGGTTTGCCAAAGTGCAAGAATTTTAC